TATTCAAGAAGTTCACAGAGCAGGATGCAAAGGAAGAAGCCAGTAAAGCTATGGTCAAGAAGGGTTTGCCAACAGAAAAGCAACAGAAAGCCAAGCAATGGAAGAAGAAACCCCAGAAGGGCAACTATGACCCCACACTAAGGAGGGATGAGAGTTGAAGGAACTCAGCCTCCTCCTCAATGGGCTGTCACCCAACTCAGGACTAAGCAGTGTTGAAAGTTCACGCTTGTTATAGTCTATGTGATTCTAGAAGCAAATGACAAGAACCAGAAGCTTCCCCAAAGCCACCACCCTGCTGCTGCCCGGTGCACTCATGGAGGGGTAACATGGGACCACTCCCGGAGGGACAAAACACACAAAGGACTGTTGATGTGGGGAGAATGAACCGGCAGACCAAGTCCTACTCATTTCAGTTTAAGTCAACATTCAATGTCCAATCCTGGGTCCCTTGAGATAATCCTTAAAAATCAATGCCATCCGTTTTGTTTTACATTTGACTGCATTTAATAGTACTGCAGAAACCTGGGAGTGGGGTAGGGGACAGTGATTGCTTAATGAATTTCTCTTTTCCTACAGTGAGTGGGTTTGATATCAGAGGGGCGACATTTTATTTTTTAAGTGACAGAAGTGTGACAAATGCACCCGGTTGCATTCTTAACCAACAGCATCCGCAGTCCTGGGGTCTGGTCTCCTCTCAGGTACACAGTGACATCTCGGACTTGAAAGTCAACACCTCAGAGGCCACTGCTCTCGGCCTGGCAGTCTCAGATGCTCTCATCAGTGCAGGCGCTGGGTGAGCTGAGTTTTCACCAGACCCAGCTTTTCCAGGCGGAAGAATTCTTCCATTCCTTAGACAGTTTCAGCAGCGACGATGAGCAGAAGGGGGCTTCTGGGTCGGCTTTCCCTGTGTGGGATGCAGATTTTAGTTGCTGAAATGTGAAACTAGCCATCAGTATTCTGTGCCTTTCCCCACACCTCACTTCCAGTTCTTGTAAACAATGTTAAGAACTAATGTTGCCTGCTAAGCACTGCTGCTGCTCCACTTCTTATTTTTATTCTTATTTCCATTCTCATTTTCGTTTCGAAGAACTTCAGATGTATTTATAATACTTGAGACCTGGAGGAGACTTATTTATATTTCCTTTTAGGTTTGATATAGCTATGTTTGCCTTTTCTTTCTTTCTGATTTTTGGCTCATTCTACCTACTACCATCAAGTCAGTTCTGACACAAAGCTCCATTGTCTGGGTTTCCAAGACAGTGAATCTCTAGAGGGGTAGTTAGCCTCATCTTTCTTCCTTAGAGCAGCTGATGGACTTGAACTGTCAACCTTGTGGCTTCCAGACCCATGTTTACCTGGTTGCATGACCAGGGCACCTAACAGGTATGTCAGTGTACACACATACACACACAAACACACACACACACACACACACACACACACA